TGTTAATTTTTTACGCATAATTCATGTTTTTTGATTTAATGGTCCTTTATTATGTGATTACTTCGTTATTGTGTTTCTAGAATCTAATATTTTAGATAATGTTTAGTTAAATATCTCAATCTCTGATTCGTGATTGTCAAATTCTGTAATTTTATTGCATTACCATCATATGAAACTTTAGGTGCCTAATGTTGTTCAGAAACTATGAAAAATAGGTTGAATGACTTGGTGTGGGATGTCCCCCGTATACTTAATATGTGTTATTATGTGAAAATAATTTTTTATATTTCATATCTTGCACTTTGAATTTAGCTTATAATTATCAAGTCATATGGAAGAAATTGTATTGGAAACACATGAGGTGCTTTACACGTGGGCTATAATTTAAACTCCCGCTTTGGTGTCCTATGCTTCTTTGTGTTAATTCCTATGGATCATTGATTTTGTTGCATTACTTTTATTTTCACATATATGACATTCAGTCANTGTTCTGGTGTATTACACTTACACAACTAAATAAAAGATTTTGCAAGGAAGCTTCTTTCACTGGAAATAATTTACATCATCTTTTGCTGCTATTTTTATATACAGATATTCTAGGAGTTGTTGTTCATGCATTTGAACAAAAACAAAGGGGCTTTGATTCAGTCATGAGAGACATCGTGATTGTGAACACTGAGTGAGTTGTATTATTGTTTATTCCCGCCGTTAATTTAAATGTAAAAAAATAGTGTTAATGTATATTTACTAAATATCAGGAACATGCCTATGATTTTAACCCTTTGGAATGAGTTCGCTACAACTGAAGGTCAACAACTTGCAACTGGTATCAACGCAGGAAACGTAATCATTGCAATGCGTGTTCGGGTCACAACTTTCAATGGTCTGTGCGTGTTTTATTGTTTATTCTTTCATAATATATACTTCACAACACACTAACCTTAAGGTATTACCTTTTGCCAGGAATCTCACTCTCCACCAAATCAACAAGTGATCTTCTCATAAATCCACCGACACCCGAGGCAAATGAGCTAAAGCAGTGGTATGATTCAATTGCATATTAAGAAAAAACAAAATCATATAAAGCTGATGTGACCACATGGTTTCTACATTATTTTGTGGGCAGGTACATACAAAATAGGCTGGATATTGACAATCTCATTATAGCCAGAGCATTTACAGACCCTGCTGCATTGCTTCCAAGGCCACCTGCTGAAAACATAATGAGTATTGAAACTTACTTGAATCCTACTAACAATGTAAGTGCACAATATTCAAATAAGTATAGAAAATAGCTACGCCATACAATTTATGAACGCTGATTCAACGCACTACAACCACAAATTCTTATGTACAACAGGTCAAAGCTGCTTGGATTCAAGGAAGTATAACTTTGGGACTGGCCAACCAACCACTTTGGTTTGCCGCTTGCTCAAACTGCAAAAAAAAATTCGACCTTGAAGTGGGCTCTGATATAAGGTGCAGCTCATGCGACCAGCAGAGCCAAATTGTGGCAAGGTAATTTTCAGTTGTCAACAACTTTATAGATATAATAAAACTACCTAAAGAAATAAAAATGAAATTCCCTAACATTTGATGTTTAAATAGAGCAAGAATTCCAATCTACATTGAAGATGAGACAGACACAATTGCAGCAGTTGTTTATGGGGATGATGCTGAGGAGCTAGCTGGGTGTACTGGTGCTGAATTGAAAGATGCTGAAGAAGAGGTTTAGTGTCTTCCTTACTTA